AATGTTAAGCTTGTTCCTGAGGAAGGGCCGTTAGGTCAATGGTGACAAAGCAACTTGGCCACAGTGCCAGATGAAGTGCATTTCTCCGACTCCTGGCTCTTTGGGACACCCTTAACACCCCCTACGTGCACACCCACTCATAAGAGTCAGCCAGGTCCTCTTCAGCCACAACCCCTCACACTCCTAGCTTTGTCGTGACCCACTTTTCCTTTGCTGCCCTCTCAGCTCCAGCATGGCCCCTTGACCCCTAGACATGACCTTCATCCTGCTTCTTATGCCTCCAGATTTTGAGACCTTCTGAAATGTTGAGGGTTTTTGGACCTTGGCTGCCTCCTTCTAGAATATTCTGGCCTTACACACCCCCAGAGCCTGAATGTCTCTTTTCTCAGGTGAGAACTTCCTATGATATTCTTGAGCTCTGAAGGATCCACCGTGGGCAGGGTTCAGAAGGCCTGTTTTGGGTGGATGGAGCAAGGGAAAGAGGAGCTTGGTGGTGCAGCAGGAGGTGGAGGAGGTGGTGGACGCACAACTGCTGTTCTAAGGGAGGAGACACATGACTGACTGCATGTATGTGTTAAGGAACAGCCAGTCGAGAATAAAAAGTGAAAGGCATAGGATTAAGAAGGGATGAGTAAAGAAGTCTGGAAGGGACAGGACTGTTGGGGTCCTGAGTATGGGAGGTGGGGTGGGGAGGAAAGGAAGGAGGTGAGTTGTGGGTCCACTAGGCGTGTGAGTGGTGAAGTCAGTGGAGAAAGAAGGGACAGTGCTGTTTGCTGGTGTAAGAGGCTTCAGCAGCAGGAAGTGGTGATGTCTGGAATCTGAGGGCTCCATGGCGGCGGGCCAGCAATTCAGAGTGGGCCCTGGTCGGCCAGGAGGGGCCAGGGACCGATGCAGGGACAGGACGCATGAGGCGGCACACAGGAAAGGAGTTATGATGGAACACAGAGCCCAGGACATGAAGGCAGCAGAGGCAGATGGGCTGGGAGAGAAGGAAGTGGTCTAGGGTCTGCACTGAGCTGAGGGTGGGAGGGTTGGGGGCTGGGAGCAGTGTGAGGGTGGGTGGGGGGACATGACACCCTACTATGGTGTAGCCCTTGGCCTGAGGGGAGCGAGCAGCACAGAACAGGAAGGAAAACAAGGAGGGCTTGAGGAACACTATGGTGTGCCTGCATGTGCCATGGCTCTTATCCCCACTGTGCAAAGACTTGAAGGCTCTGAAGGCCGCTTTCCCCCTTGGCTCCTGCATTTAGCAACCAGCTGCTCCTTGCTGGTCAGAACCCGGCTGATCCAGCAACCTGCTCAAGCTGGTTTCGTCTTCCTCTCCATTTTGGAGGCCACCATGAAGCAGCATACACAGGATAACTAATAAACATTCGCGGGTGGTGAAGGAGGCGGGTCCCAGAGCCTGTGAACATCAGCTCTCAGTGGAGTGAATGCAGCCCTTGGCCTCTGTCCTCCCCCTAAAAGGGCTTCTGGGAGTGCCTGCAGAAGTTTGCTTAGAACATGTACTGGAGACCCTGCACAGGAGCTGGAAGGGCAAAGCCCCTCCCGACAGCCCCCTGGAGCTACCCTAGAAGGGCCACAGACCCAAAAGGGACTCTCCTCCAAAGGAAAGCCTTGCCATTGGCCCCATTTCAGATGGTTGGCTTTAGTATTTACTTTCATTTTCCATGGCTGAGCTCAACTCTGCCTTAAATTTACAGTGCCTCCTCAAGTCTTGGTCAACAAGATGGGGGCAGGGGCTAGGGTAGGGATGTGCATCACACAAATGTTGGTGGAAGTGCTCACTTTGTGCTTAACCAGTCAGTAGACTAAGAATGTGACAGAACGCACAACAGTACGCCCTCCTTCCTGGGGTCAGTCTGGGCACCGAGCCCAGTGAGGCAGCCACCAGTGAGGGCAGAACAAGGCTGCCAGCAAGCTCCCGCAACACCGCCCCACAGGGAGCAGGGGGCGGAGGCGGGGGGCAGCTAACTAAAGACCACAGTGAATATCGTGTGGCTGTAAAGAAGAATTAGAAGTTCTTTCTGATCCAATTTGGAATGACTGCCAGAACATACCTTGAAGTGAAAAGAAGGGCAGAGAGAACATGCACAGAAACACATGAGAAACAGAGGCAGGCTACGTGACTGGTAGGGCCACAGTTTTAATATATGCTCCATGGTGCCTTTTGAATTTTGTTCTGTGTGAATGCTTTACCTATTTAGGAAAGTAAGATAAAATTTCTAAATAAATAAATAGATGACATCCATCCTGCTGATGAACCCTCTTCAGGAATTATCACCTTAGTTGATGTGTCTGTTTGAAAGGGAGGTGAGGCTGTTCCATTATATTCACTCCTGGCATTTAAGGAACACTGAGCAAGGGCCCTGGAGCTACAGCACCCTGTAAAAGACACCGATTCCTGAAGTCTGTTTGACTCGACTAAGAGATAAAGAACATCAGAAATTCAGGAGATGATGAAGGTAGTCTCCAGTCTGCTGGGAAAGGTAGATAACGAAACCAAAAAGAAAGGTTGGTGTTGGCCTCATTAAGTCCTCATGGGTGGAAAATTTCAAGTTAGATCCCTGTCTCATACCTCCATAAAACAGATTCCAGATGGGATTAAGAACCAATAGTAACAAAGTTAACATAAGTATTGGGAGAAATAGAACATAATATTTTTGTGATCCTGGGGTGGGGAGGGCCTTTCTTTTCAAGATAGAAAGATTCAATTAGAATCAACCCTCTATATCATCCAGGTAACTTTTCTATAAATCTAAATGTATTCTAAAGTAAAATTTTAAAAAACTCCACAAACTTTAGTTCACCAAAAGATATCATGCACAAAGGTTTAAAAAGGACAATGTACAGCCTTAGGAGAAAATACAGTTCTGAAGCATATATGATAAGCAATTATCACTGTTAATAAGAATGATTGCCCCATAGAAAAATGGGCAAGAAGCATCAATATATAACTTACAATAAAAGACACACAAAACACCACTGGCATCAGAGAAATAAAAATTAGAACCAGAGGATGACATTTTTCACTTACCAGAGTGACTAACACTTACGGGCAAAACTGAGAATACGCAGTGGAGAATCATGCATTTTTATGTCCATTGGTGATATTCTCAATTGATACAGCTTTTTTTGGAGGCCAAATTTTAAATGTATATACTTTAGGACTGCGATTTCACCTCAAAGAATTTATCGTATAGAAATATTTGCATAGATGTGCAAAGCTTGTACTCCGGAATACATATCCAGAATGGAGGACTGGTTGTGTGCATACCATGCAACACTACATGGCTATGAACAAGAATGAGGCCCATCATACACACATGTATATATGTATGTAAACACACACATGCATGTATACATATACATGAAAGTGAGAAAAACAAGTACGAATAATGTGGCCTGCTGGAGCAAACAGGAAACTGGGGCTGGACAACATGGGGCCGTGCAGGCATTTGGACTCCACTGTGCAAACAGGGGAGCTACGTGAGGCAGAGACACGATAATCCCATGTATCCACAGAGAGGACAGACTTTGAGAGGCGAGCAGAGACAACGCCACAACCACCATCCGGGTGAGAGATGTGATATGAAAGCAGGAGCAGGTGGGATGGAGGTGGCTGTGACCCAGACACATACCTGTTCTCATGGAGCTGACGTGGACAGGCAACCACAAACAAGGGTTTGGGATTTGGAGGGCAGAATGGACAGGATTTAGGGATGAACAGGGGTAATGAGCTGGGGATGAGAGAGACTTCCAGAACTACAATTTCTGACGTGTGCAATGCAGTGTGCTAGCTGTTTGGGGTTGAGCAGAGAGGCTTGAGGCAGAGGTCAGCCTTTTGAGATCATCTGGGAAGAAGTCCCACATGTCTGCGCTTAATGTAGATGGCACCCACTGAGGCACAGCTCTAGTGTTCCCACCTACAGGCCTCAGAGAGAGCTTCTAGAAACCCAGTTCTTTCAAATACAGAGCAACAACTTCCCTTTCAGGACTGTGGAGAGGCCTCCTCTCTTTCAACCAGATTCACAGACAAGAGATCAAACTCTCAGGATTGAATCTGAGCTCAGGAAGACGGCATTCAGGTGGGCCCTGGGGATGCGGATCTGGATAAAATGCCAAACCTGCTTCCCGAAGCTGCTCCTGGGGAGGGAGGTGCAGGGGAATGGCCCCAGTGGACAGTTACTACAGGTGCCTGTGAAGGCTGGAGGTCTTCCTGAAGGGTCCTAGGACAGGCGTGGCTGGAAGGGTAGCCATCAATTTAGGTGAGAGGAGAGGAGAGGAGGAATGGTCTGCTCAGGGAAGGGCAAGGAATCCCCTGTGGCTGCAGCCTACAGTGGGGGAGGAAAGGAGAGGAGAGACTGGGGCCAGGTCCAGAGACTGGGTCTCATTGCCGCAAGCGTGGAGTTTGTTCACCTCATTCATTTACTTGAAAAAAGAATTTACAGAGTGCTGTAGTCTTGTCAGGCGCAGTTATAGATGCTGGGTGACACGGCAGTGACTCCACTAAGGGACCTGCTCTCCTGGAAGTAACATGGGGGAGAGTCACCATAAACAAGGAACAAACAGTGGGAGAATTTCTGGCAGAAGGCCATGCTGTGCAGAAAATAAAGCAGAATGATGAACTGAGAGTTTGGGAAAAGTGTGGGGGAGGGGTAATTAGGGGACTTCCTGCAGCAGTGGAGGTCTGAGTGACTAGAAGGAACCCTCTACTAAGAACTGGGAGCAGCAGGCGGGGCACTGCAGTTGGAAGCTAATTGTATAACGCAATTGTTTTGCTAATAAGATCATGTTAAGAAAATTAGGCTTTTTTCTCTTCCGTAATGAACTCATTAGTGAGTTGTATTTTTAGTTTTTCCTCTTGGGTTTTAGAGGTGGGGCAGGAGGGGGAGGTTTGTTGGGACTGATGGGGAGGATTCTGGATCCCTATATCCGAGCCAGTCCCAGGGGAAGGGAGGAGCATCAGAGGGAGGAGGCTGAGGTGGAGGAGCACCCACCTGCTCCTGGAGGTCACGTCCAGGAAGAAGTGCACGAGCGCCAGCAAGTTGTGGTGGTGATCAGACACCTTGCTCAGGGTGCAGCACAGCTTCTGGAGCTGTGGGGAGAGCAGGCATTAGGTGGGCTGTGAGAGGGCCCGCCTTCCACCCTGACTTCTTGACCAGCCCACACAGCAGGCCAGCCAGAGAACAAGATGTGGGTCAAGGAAGCCGGGGACTGGAGGCAGTGTTCCCTGGCAGCCTAGTGGCCTCCAAGCCTGCTATCCCCGTGGAGTATACTCAGGGGCACTTCAATCCCTAGTAACAAGGCTACGTGAGGAGGCTCAGGACCTTAGAGAAGAGACTTTGGGGCTTCGGCTTTGGCTCCTGGTACCTTGCGTGGCCACTCGTGGATGTTCTCAAGGAGCAGGAGCAAAAGCTGCTGAAGATCAGTCTTGGGCAGCAGGCGAAGCCCCACATCCAGGCCAACTCGGCACAGCAGCTCAATCAGGCCCAGGAGGTCCCCATCGGTGTAGGCCCCTGGCTGGGCTAGGGCACACAGCGTCAGGAACTGGAGAAGAGAGAGAGTGGTCGGCCAGGGATGGCGTCCCTGGGAGACAGGGCTGGGCAGGAGGGGAGGGCACCATGAACCTCTTGGCCGTGCCAGGCGGGAGAAGAGGAAAACAAGCAGCAAAGCCCAAAGTCAAACCCCCCACGGGGTACTGAGGTGGCAGGCCCAGGTGTGGGGGCTGTGAGCCTTCCACAGCATTAGTCCCGGTGGCTGGCATGGTGCCTGCAGGGCAACTACTGAGTAGGTCTGGAAGGCTAGCAGAAACGGGTGGAACTCACCTTATAGATGAAGCTCAGGCTCACATCCAAGGCAGTCTCTGGGGGGGCATCCTGCTGCTCACTCCAGCTCAGGCTCCTGCTGTTTTTAAACACTCTAAGGTAAGACAAAAGCAAAGTGAAGGAGATGGGAGGAGGTGGCTGCAAGGGGAAAATGGAGGCAGAGAGGGGGGTCTGTCGTTGCTCAAGAACAGAGAGCCCGTGGATGATGCATTCAGCCTGGGACACTGATGCTGTGTGTGTCAGTCATCTACTGCTACATAACAAATTACCTCAGAATACAGAGGCTCAAAAACAACAAATATTTATTACATTACACAGTTTCTGGGAGTCCTGAATCCAAGAGCAGCTTGGCCGGGTGGTTCTGGCTCCGGGTTTCTTGGGAATACCCCCTAAGTATTGGAGGTGGGGCTGCCATCATGTCAGGCTGGAGTGGGCTGAAGGAGCTGCTTGCAAGCTCACTCCAAGTTCACTGGTGTGCCCACCAGCAGGCCCGCACCCAGTTCTTTGCCACATGGGGCTCTCCAAAGGGCTCCTCGACTCGGCACCTGGCTGCCCCCTAAGTGAGTGACCTGAGAGAGGGGGGAATGCCAGAGACAGAAGCGCAGCCTTTATAAGCTAGTCTTGGAAGTGACATTCCCATCACTTCTGCTGATGCCTATGGTCCATGCAAGCCATCCAGACTCAGTGTGGGAGTAAGCCACACAAAGGGAGAACATCAGAAAGTAGGGATCACCGGGGGCTGGCTCCCAACTGCTGCCATTCCAGCTGTGAGAAATAAGCCCACTGACCCTGTCAAAGGAGGGATGTGGAGACTCAGAGCACAGTGAAGCAAAGTTTGAATCAACATTCTTGCAAGAGCGGGTGTTTGACAGACAGGCACACTCAAGGCAGTTACAGCAGACAATTTATCTCCTAGCATGGAAGTCCCTCCCCTGGTTCCTCATTGGCTGAGTACTACAGAGGTTACAGCCTTACCCAGATGTCACCTATGCTCATGTAAGGCAAAAAAGAGTCCGACTGGAATAAATGTACATTCCCTGAGATGAAGCAGAGACTTTCAGTCCTCCTCCCTTTGTTCTTTGGTGCATGCTCATTGCAAAGTCTGTGAAAATAAGCCCTCTAAATGGAGAGCGAAAGAGCCAGAAAGTAAAATGTCTAAGGGTTGGGGATCCATTGTGGGGGTGGGGGTTTCGAACGTATTTCCGATAGGTTGTAAACCTGTTAAGTAGACAGCACAGCTTTAATTTGGTATTTCTGAAAATGAATTATCTCCCTTACTTCTCAGATAGCCAAACCTCCAGCTTTAGTTTTCTGGGACTTGGAGACCAGGAAATCATACTCCATTGCCCTAAAAGAGTCTTCCTCAAAAAAGTTCTTTTGTCCGTACAGGTATGGTGACATTTTGTGTGTACTGAAAAGTACACTACATTGTAGCTTACATAAGGGGCTAGTTTCCAAAGTCAGCAAGTAATATGGTAAGAGAGTAAAAATTACCATTGAGAACCCCTCCAAAGATGTCACACTAACAGCCTGCCTACCCATAAGCCTAGCATGGCCAGTTTTCCCCTAGTGCGAAAACAAATCTGGTTGAGGGGAGATGAAGTTAGAACTTAGGGTCATACCCCCCAAAGAACAAAGCAAAAACAAAAACAAAACAAAAACAAAAAACACAAAAACCAAACCTCTTTAAAGACTGGAGTCATACTCGGGTGGCAAGGTCCTTACAGTGAGAGAGACATCAGTAGACAGCAAAGTAGTACCACCTTTGCACAAACTTCCCAGGCACATGCTTATTGGATAAGAATCGAGCAGGATCGGCCTCACTAACTGATTCACTCTCTCTGGTCAAATGTATACTGTCAACTGCTGCATACTGTTGAGGTGAGTGTATGACCAGGCTCCCTGTGCTGTCCCATCCACTTCTCCCCTCTTAACTGGTTGGAGTTCCTGATAACAGCAGGCTCTCCACAAATGAAGATACTAATGACAACAATGCTATTGGTAGTAACAGCCTCCAATGTAGCCACCTGACCACCGATGAAGGAAATGCTGTGTTCCTGCATGCTCCAGTGAAAAGTCTCTGCTCTTCTTTTACTTGGCACTTGTGCTGCTCCTCCAAGGTGAAGAAGGAGAAATCCACCTGGGTGCCTGGGAAACTGATGCCAACAAATCAAAGTCAAGGGGGTGGAGGACTAGGATTGGGCTTGGCCATTTTCCAAGATTTTAGCATTTATTAGGGGCAGAGAATAGGTGAGGCTGGCGTTTGCACATCTGGGCACCTGCTGGGCCTATGTCAGTATATGAGAGGCACTCTGGTTTGCACCAGCCCGTGAGCATGAATGGGGTATGGAAGCATGAGTGAGAATGCTTTCAGACTTCCCAAAGGCTGGAGGCAGGCACAGAATTGACCATGACTCTGATGAAGAGGAACAGGCTTTTAGACAGTCTGGTGCCGCCAGAGGGAGGAGGAGTGTGGAAAACGTGAGCTGGGGAGGGAAGTGTGGCTGTGACAAGAACCCTCTCCTCCTTGGAAAGCAATGCCAGTCTTCCCAAGTGGAGAGGGCGGTGGACAGCCCCGCAGTGTGTGCTCCAGCATTTTGTGTGCCTCTTCTCCTTGGGAATAGCAGGCAACAGAATAGGGGTCCCTGTTCCCTGCCTTTCCGAGGTTCTGATGAACCACTTGCCTGAAACGTCTGCATCTTTGACTACTATTCTGGGGTGCAGCACTGGCTGATTCCCAGGCCTCCATCCCCAGGCTCCCAGTAGGCAGCCACAGAACACAGGCATTCATTCACAGCCTGGCAAGCTCACTCCCCTCCTGGACTCAGCAGGTTAAGAGCGACAGGATGGTCCCACCACTGGACTCCATGAACAAATCGCTTCATCCATCTTGCCCCTCCCCTCAGCCCTGACCCCTAGCTGGTAGGGTTAGAGTTCAGCCTGTGGCCAGCACCTAGCAGCTGAGCTGGAGCCTTGGTCATGACGACACGATTCTACACTCTTTGAGTGATCATAAGAGGGGCACATCTTACATACTCTGACATTCTCAGCAGGAGAATGGTAAGGGAGCCGTAGGGGCATGGCCACCACTGTAATTGAGGGCCTTCCTGAAAGGGCCCAGTGGTCAGGGCTCCACCATGCAGGCTGTGAGCAGGGTGCTCTCCTCTAGGCCTGTACTACTAAACCAAACTGGACCTTCTGTCCAGGCTCTATGGGCCGAGGTCAGTGCAGTAAAGGGGATTTGATGCTGACCTAATGGAAAGGGAGAGAGAAGGACATTTTACCTGGGTTGAATTACACTGTCTCAAGATGGCCAGTGATCAGCCTCCTGCACACTGGACAGGAAGCTCTTTCAATGGATTAACCATCAGTTAGTTACCCATTTGGTCTCTGACCAAGCTGCCCTTTCAGAGAACTAAGTGGATAAGTTTTCCAGTACCAGGCTATGGTAGTTTGGCAGCCAGTCCTGTGTATCTGACTAGGACTTTCAGCTGGACTTTGTAACCTGGGAGCAGCCTTGGAAGACCAGCCATCGCTACCAAAGACCTTCCCTGCTTTCTCAGGTGAGACTGGGGCACCCAACAAAGCGTGTCTGTGTAGCCGGGTGGCACCAGCCCCCTCAAGCCCTTCCTTCTGCTTCCTGGTCAGTGTTCATGCTCTGGTCCCTCTTCTGCCCTTTTGCCCCCACAGATCCTCCTGATTCCTCCCTCCCCAGCCTTGTCACCAGGCAGAGGGATGATTACATGGTCCAATAGCAGAAGGACTACATCTTTCTATGAGGAAATCTTGAAGCATTCGAGGAGATGGTGATCAGGGTTTCAAGGAAATCTGAGATGAGGAACAAATGGTGAAAGACCGGTCTTCCTCACTGAAATTAAAAGGGCAGTCCAGTTGTGGGGCCATGAGCAGAAGCATCCTAACCCCTCATCCCCAGCCTTCACCACTATGAGGGCTCCGTGGGTGCCCCGGAGGAGGCCCAGAGCATCTGTTCTGCTGGGGAGGAAGTCAACAGAGCAGTGTGAGATATAGAGCCACTGGCATGGGATGGGCCTGAACTTGGTCAGGAACAGGGCAAGGAGGACGGTGGGGAGAAGGCAGCCTGCCCTGATGTGCTTCTTGTGGCCCATGTGTCCATGAAGGGTGACATACCCTTCATGGAGGAGATGCCAGAACCTTCATAGTGCTTCCTGAATAGTCTAGAAAAGCTATCTTCCAACTCCCAGAGCCTCCCCAACTGCAGCAGCCAACCAGCAACTCAGCTAACCCACCCGAGCATCTCTGCTACCCCACATCTCAGGTACATCACCAAGGGGTCTCCAGGATGTGTCTGTTTGCTTTTCTTTTTCTCTTCTTTTTTTAACATTTATTTTTGAGAGACAGAGACAGAGTGTGAGTGGAGGAATGGGGGCGGGGGACAGGCGGGGAGGAGGGGCAGAGAGAGAGGGAGACACAGAATCCAAAGCAGGCTCCAGATTCTGAGCTATCAGCCCAGAAACCCACGGGGGGCTTGAACTCACAAACAGCAAGATCCTGACCTGAGCCGATGTCGGCCACTCAACCAACTGAGACAGCCAGGTGCCCCTGTTTGTTTTTCAAAAGGAGGCTGTGTTCAGGCAGAAAATCCTCCTTAGCCTGAGTGGCTGGCGGGCAGTCCCAGCCTGTTCTTATAGGGTCACAATAGGGAAATCACCCCTGAAGCCATTGGCTGGATCCTCTGGGCCAGTTCTGACTCCTCTGTGGGGAGACGGTACCAACAGTGTGAGGCCCAAGGAAAGAGGTAGGCTGTCCAAATGGCACATCTGGGAATGTGACCATGCAGTTCTGGGATCACTCTGGGACAACACAGCTTAGCCTTCCTCTTTATCCAGGGCCAACTGCCTTATAATGCATGCTAGGGTTTGTGTTCCCAAAGATTTGAGGTGGCAGATTTAAACAGCCATAGTTCTAATACCCATCTGCCCCCTGTGGCCTCCAAAGAGGATGGATTTGTCCTGAAGCCTAAGGGACAGGAAGCTGTCAAACTCAGGAGGAGGGGAGAAGGTGGCTCTTTGCAGAGTGCAGAGTAAATTGGGTGGTTATATGCCCAGTGGCACCTCTCACTTTCCAAGTGGACACCAAGTACTCATCACAACAGTTACAAATAGCTCTTCTCAGCACCTCCCAGGACCTTCCCCCAACCTGCTTTTGTTTTTCTAAGTGTAATTCTTTCCCCGACTCATTCTAGAAGGCGGTGTGCCTGAAGCTCTATCCTGGGGAAGAGGCAAATGGCTTATTACACCAGACATGGAACCCCACGGGAAGGGGGAGGGGCAGGAGCGAGGCAGGCTGGCACATGCGTGGGGTATTTATAGCAGAGCGAGTGTGGTTTGGTCTGGTTTGGTTTGGCAGACAATTACTAAACACAGTCGTGGAACAGGTTCTTAAGGAAGCTTTGGCCTTCCCTGCGTAGGAACACCCGCCCACCTGCAACAGCAAGCATAAAGGTCCCTGCACCTCCTGGGGCCAGAAGATTGTCACCAGGATGACGGGGGTGAGTTCCCGTGTAACAGCCTGTCCAGGGCTCTAAATACCCTGTTATATGTTCTCAAAGAATTGTCAAGGAGTTTGAATGTAATATAATCTGTAGAACAAGTTTATAACATATAACACTTTCACAACTCAGACCTCCTCACTATCCACCCAACAATAGTCATTTATGTATTGTATGGCTCTGCTCCTAGGGGGCAGGGACAATGCCTATGCAAATTAGCACCCCCCAACCCAGATCAGCACACAAAGGGGGCACCCACAGAACAAAACTGGCTATTGTGGAAATCACATGTAAAATTGTGCCTTGCTGGCCATGGGTTGATATTAGATAATGGGCCAAAACTGAGGCTTAGAGGCAGACCAGAGACTGGGACATGTCCTGGAAGAGGAGGGGCATTGAGGGCTCTGAGTCACCAAGGGGCAAGAACAGATGTCAGCCGAAGCAGCAAGACTCATCTGTGCCTGCCTCTTCTGTCCCCCAGACTGGGAGCACAGTCACTTATCCAACATTCACCATTTGCTATTTGTGGTGTGATACTCATCCTCGAGTACTTGTGTGTGGTGATTGTTCTTAGACTCTGTTTTGCCATGTGGGCTAGAGCTTGAGTTTGGGAATTCTTTTAAACTGCCCCCCCCACCACCAAATGCACATAATTTTATATAATAATCAGAGGAAATCTTTCCTCTTTTTTCCTAAATGTTCATCTATTTTTGAGACAGAGAACATGTGCTGTCTCAACAGCAGATGGGGGAGGGGCAGAGAGACATGGTTGGGGGGAGGGAGAGAGGGAGAGAGGGAAAGGGAGAGAGGGAGGGAGGGAGAGAGGG